TGTGATGACATTTTAGCAGATGACATCATCTCTTAATTATATCAATCTGAACACATCCTTACCACCAGGAAAACTTAATAGGCCCGTCTACACACCCCTTGGTATATAATCCCAAGAATGTATTACATACAGACTTTGAGGTTTTTTTGTTTCCTATTCCTAAATATATTGGCACTCAAGGCTGCTTAAACAAGCATCAACAAAGGTGCCTGTCTTCTTTGAAGTTATTTTCTACGGAAATCACAGCCACTGACCCAATGATTTAGAAAGATTAAATTGTGCTTATTTTATGGCATTCTAAAACAGCAGGGTTAAATACTGGGCCAGCTGCCAGCCGTGCAGCACCCACACTTTCATGTTTGCCTGCCAGACCCATCCGCACGAATTATTCTGAAGCAGAAATGTGCAATGGCGCCATTCTGCAGAGCAGAAATGAGTTTTGGAGTTCTAATGCTTTGATGAATGGATAATTCAAATGTTATTCACTTTTACATGCATGCACAACACTTTTTTGGATTATTGGATTTTAGTTGCTGGAGGCAAGATTTTTCCTTCTCTCTCGGAGGAAAGACATCCCCTACACTAGTTAAGTTTCTTTTTATTTTGTTCCAGAGGAATGTGGGATCCCTTTCTCTGACTATCAAAAATCAAGATATATACTTAGCCACTTTATTTCTAACAGAAGCTGTATCTATATATTCATATTTGTGCATAAATGTATATATACACACACATTAGATCACTTATTCTATGTTAATTTACACTAAAAACATGTTCTTCTCTAAACTCTGCCATAGTCATTAGGCTGAGGCATGGCTGTACGTTCACTCCAGGCTCCTTGATAGCAGGATCAAATAGCTCCAGGTGGTGCAGATCTCTGTCCACGGGTCTACAGAGAGGACTCACAGCCTCAGACTCAAGCCCACAGTCTATATATAGCCACTCGGGTAAAACTTCATTAATAATGTGAATGATTTAAAATACAAGAAGAGCAATGACAAGTCTAAGCAAGTATACACTCAAGGAAATAATGGTGACAGGAAAGCAAACCTGAGAGTTTTCAGACAAGAGAAGCCACCGTCTTTACTAAAGGCTGGGAAGTACTTTTTTTGGAGAAGGCAGGTCTTGATACAAACTTAGAGAATATTGGGGATTTTCCCAGATGCAGAAGGAAAGCAATATTGTATCCTAGAGAAGTATTTTCTATAAAAACAGGGATAGGGACCTGTGGGTTGCAGAGAGGGAACCCCAAGAGGTTGCCTAGATTGATTTTTCTGAAGAGACACAAAAAGAAATAAGGTGAAAAAAGAAAGGTGGGTCCATGTGTTTGTAGGTTGGGAATGCCATGCTGAATAGCATGGCATTAATCCTTCTGAACAAGGGAAAGAATGGACACTACTGAGCAGGACTAAGGATACAAAACTAAACCAGTACTTTCAGAAGACTTATGATGTTGTACAGGGTGGAATGAAGGGTAATCTGCACGTAGTCAGGCAGACTCCTCAAGACAAGGCTATGGATGAAGTGCTGGAAGGTAACCAGAGCATCGTAAAATGCCAACACACAGAAATTAGTGGACAACAGTAAAATCAAGAAGACCTGGGAACTGAGTGTGTGGGGAGCAAAACATCACCAGTTGATGGTGAAGGAATATGGCAGTGACAGAATATAGCTTGTATCAACCAACATTTTTGGAAACATTGAGAGTCAATAAATACAAGATGTATCTTTCTCAGGAATTACCTTAGCAGTGCAGTCACCAGTGCAGCCAAGATGAGAGAGGAGACATGAGTGGATTGGGGAGAGGTTGGAGAACAAAACCTAATGAGTGATTAAGTCGTTTTAGTTTGAGTCCAAAGGAAACTAAACAAAAATGGCTGGGAAAAAATTAAGTCATGTGCTTTAAGGCTGCTTAGAATGGATTGTACTGAAGGGAGAAGACAAAATGTTTTCCTATATTGGTTCAATTACCATTAAAATTAAAAACTTCTAGCAAACTTTTCATCATTTGTTTACTCATTTTTGTGGCAATATTTCATTCTAATGCTAAATAGCAGCTGTGCTCCATACAGGTTTGCGAGTTGCTTCATTCCAGGCAGGTAGCTGATCTTTGTCATCTCTTTCCTTGGGGGTTTTTTGCAGAGCAGAAAACAAGCTGCATAAAGCAGACTCCTTCTAAAATCAGTGAAGTTAGAGTGTTGGGGTCCGGTGGGGGCAAGGGAGAGGGGTGTGCCTTTAAGAAACGAAAAAATATGGGGTTTTTCTCTGACCCCAGAGAGGGACAAAGATCACATAATCCTCTAGAACTTTGCTGACATTCTCAGCTTCTCAGCCTTTTTGAAGATTCCCAAAGAGGAGCATCAAGGCTTCTGAGACCACCAAGACCGCAAGCCTCCCTGCAGCAGCCAGCGTCAAGTGTCCACAGGGGACCAGAGCGATTTCCCATTTCTTACCTCTGGGACCTTTGTATTACCCGGTCTAGGCGGAGCCCCAGAAAAACTGAGATTGCATCTTACACCAGCTTCGCAGAACACAAACTCAGTTCTGAAATGAGTTTGATTAAATAAAAAAATAGAAGAGAAACTCAGTTTTGAAATGAGTTTGATTAAACAAAAAAACAGAAATACAACTTTCTTATTTTTTTATGACTTACCAATGGTAATTAGTTAAGTTGGAGAATAAAAGATCCAAAATAGTAGGGTTTTTTTCAGTTCTTTCTTCAACCTATCCATATATACAATACACTTCAAATTTTTTTCTGTCCTGGAATTCATGTTACAACCCTCTACCACGTTAAGGGCTGAGTGGTGACGTAACACAAAAGGATTTACTTAATGGTACCAACATTTTTGGATGTTCTGTTTGTTCTTATCATTCTTTCACACTATGAATGGGGTAGCTGAACTGTGCAGAAGAGTTTATCAGAAATCCAGGCTCAGGCTCTGAGCAGCTTGGCCTTAGAGGAGCTGAACATTCCTTTATTGGATCTCAAGTCACACGAGATGCCAGCAATCACATTTCTCTTACTAAGCATAAAACACTCGGTGAGATACCACGTTTATGCTCAGACCAAAGTACTCCAGACTCTCCCAAATGAATCCTGATCATTTACATTTAAAAACATTTTGTAATTAATGCATGCTCATTATGTTTATGCGAGGCCATTACAAGTCATTTTTGAAGACATCTGAAATAAAGCAAAAATTCTACAACAAAAATAAAACCATGGAGGATAGTATTTTCCCCTTATATAAAAAATGTTTCATTATTTTTTTCTTCTTAAATCAAGAAGGCCTCATAGAATCAGAATCAATGTCCTTGTTTTAAAAATCATTTGCTCTTCTACAGTATTACTAGAAGATAATAAAATGTGTATTACATTATAATTGAAATCTTAACCGCCCTGGGAAAAAAGTAAATGTGTCATGTTGTGTGAAGTGATGTTGAAATCTTGCCATACATGGTCCCAGTCAAGCCTGAAAACCTGTTATCTTTTTTTTTATTAATGTCTAAGTCATCTGCATTTTTGATAACTTCAGTAAGCCTCACAACTGTCAACGTTTGCCACTGACTTTTACTTTCCCCCAAATTATTTTTGACATTTTGGTTTCCACTTAACAAGTAAGCAAGCTTTCATTCTTGGAGACATTACTTAATAGATACCACATGTCCAAGACCATACGTAAACATCATTTACTGCAAAACAGGTTAATAACACAGTGCAGATACCGTTGCTATAGTCCCATATTATGCAAATGAGAGCAAACTATTTTTGTTGTATTATTTGAACTCACTGAAAACCAACAGAGGTCATCGCACTACAGGTGGGGATTAACACAAACTTAAATGTGTACTGATCTCCCTGTGAGGAAGGAAGCTTGAGCAAATGCTCTGTGGCAGCTGCTCGTTTCAGGATACAGCCAAATGCTACCAACAGAAGGGAATACTTAGGAGACCAATTTGAATTAACACGTTTGGAAATTTAGTGAAAGTATAAACACATACGAAGTTGAAAAGAACCATACATATAAGTCTTACTTGGAGCTACACTTTTCTTTTGTAGATTCTCCCTGATAGTTCCATTTCTAGAAATTCTATCCAGGCCCATAGTCTAGATGTGGTTCTCTATAATGACAGCTTATTGGTATATCAATCAAAAAAATCTTCTGAACTTTCTGTGATGCAGGCTAATAAAACATGATCACTTTTCCTGAATAAGTTGAAATACACCTCTCGGGACTGATACAAAATAGAAGTGATTCCCTCTTTGGGACAATTAGCTTGAAAGAAGGCAAAGAAGGAAACTATTACATGCCCCCGTTTAGTAAGAAAGGATCCAGGATTTGGACTAGGAAAGGAAGACAAGGGAAAGGAGACGGTAAAGAAAGCAAGGGAGAGGGCTTAATCACACTCGTAGAAGCCAGAATTAGTCATTTGTGTAAAGAGAGTATCAGGAGACTGGTTTTATCAGACCAAGATATGCTATTTACAGCAACGTTAAAATTTGGAAAACTTGTTACATGATAATCAGCCCCTGAAAAGATAAATGTTTGTTATTGTTGTAACCTCATCTCTTTTTTATGGGATTTCAGAAGAACACTGGTTTGTGGAGCTTTACCATTTGTGTTTCATTTTTGCACTCTGTGATGTAACAGACGTTAAGCGCTGGTACGCGACAGGCACTGCACTAGGCACTGGGGATCCTCATGCGGTTCCTGCCTGCGTGGACTTTACAGTATCTGGTAGCTGTGTGCTAATTTAAATTTGAAAAACGCTTTCACTTGCTCTTCATTTTTCTCATATCCTGCTTTTCAGTGTACTCTTCTTTGGCAACAGGACCTTGATATTCATGGCAATGAACTTGTTTTAAAGAGGAGGTGATTTTTCACATATAAGGAATTGTATTTTGAATAATGTAACAATGACTGTCTTAGCCTACCTGCCATGACAAAATACCACAGACAGCATGGGTTAAATAACAGAAGTTTCTTTGCTTATAGCTCTGGTGCCTGGAAGTTGGAGATCAGGATGCCAGCGGGGTAGAGTTCTGGTGAGATCTCTCTTCCTAGGCTAGCTATGGCCACACCTCCTGGCTGTGTCCTCACATGATGCAAAGAGTAAGTTCTCTGAGGTTTTTTCTTACAAGGGCATGGATCCCATTATGAGGGCCCCACCCTCAGGACCTACTCTGGACCTAATTACCTCTCAGAGGCTCCATTTATATTATTATGGTTAATGTTATTTTCATTTCTTGCTTTATAGCGCAGTGATCATAATTCGTATAGTATTCCATATTAATTTTCTACTTTTCCTTGAATTTCAAATAATTTTTGTCCCATAAAATTGAAGTTATATAATTAGGTATTTAGAATTGAAGCTTTTATCACCATGAAAATTTCCTTTTTCTCTCTACTAATGCTTTCTGCCTTATACACTTCGATATTACTATCACTACAGTTGCTTTTTGTGTGTCTAGTTTCTGCTTTTCATATTTTTCTATTTTTTAGTTTTATTTTCTTAACTTCAGGTGTATTTCTTATAACAAGCATAACATTGTTGCTGTTGTTGATAAATTCAGTATGAAAATCTTTGATTTTAATAAAGAATTTAATATATTTATATCTATAATTATTGACCTATTTGTTTAAATCTATACTTTATAATTTATAATATTTTCCACATTTGTATATTTGCTCTTTTGAATATTTTTATTAATCTCAGCTCATTTGCTTGAAAATTGTAACTGATTACACTGAAGTTAGAACTTACTCTAAGCATGTGTATAGGGAACTTTTCACCACCATTCAAGACTCCCTTTGATTTGCAACCCAGTTACTAGCTGTTTTTTTCAGAGAGAACCACATGACAAATACCAGTGAATAAAGAACACTTTGCCAGGAGGGTACAATTGAAATAATCCAATATAAGAATAGTATTTTCCACAAACTTTGTATTTTACTTTAAAAATTCATATGGTTTTCCTCACAGTGTACTTGTTTGCTTTAATACTTAAAAAGTTAAGTAACTCTGAAGAAAAAATAATTTAAAAATAAATGAAAACAAGCAACCCCTCTTAGTCATTTGATGTAATGCTATATTACTGGCCCAATCGATTCTTAAAAAGTGAGATGAATGCAAAGAGGTTTCATCCTGCATTTTGAGATTATCACTGTCATGATTCAACTTTTCCGTCTCAGTATCACAGTATTTAAGAGTCAGAGTCACAGAAGTGGATATTTGCAAGTGCGTATTTTTTATCCACTGTTTTTCAAGCTGTCAGAGTAGCCATGAAGCACCACCAGAAATGTGCTGGCTTTGGAAGAAATAAAAATTGTATAACTTTGTAGTTGGGAAGGCTTCTGTCTCAGTCACTTCCTATCTGAACAGCCAACCACATTGCCTGGCACAGCCGCAGCACTCAGGAAATGGACATTGTTGTGGTGGTGGTTTTTGTTATGATTATCTTTAGTTCTGGACTGTTTATACCTTAATGATGCCTAATAGCTTAGACCCAGAAGGAGTGTGATGCAACTCTGAGAGCAGTCCTTTTCTTTAGAAAAGCTACTGTCTAACTTAAGATGTACTTTTAAAAATCTTTTGCCCTTCTAAAACCACAGTTAAGAAAATGAAAATGGAAAAAAAAAAAACAGCCTGGTGGAAACTATTCACAACACATATATCAGACAAAGATTTGTATCAAGACTATGCAGAGCTCTTCCAAGTAAATTACAAACAACCACCATGACCGAAAGAATAAAAGATGTGAACAGATACTTAAATACTTAACAGAACACTTCAAATGATGAATAAATACAGGCAAACAGTCTGAATATTAGAGAAATTCAAATTAAATCTACAACGAGATACTACTACACACCTACAAGAGTGGTTAAAATTAAGAAGACTGGCTATACCAAACGTTTGTGAAAATATGGAGCAATTGGAACTCTCATACAACGCACAAAGGAATCAAAAATTGTACAAACATTTGGAAGACAGCTTGGCAATTCCTTAAAAAGTTAAAAATTCTTTCCTATGCCCAGTCCTTCCAGTCCTAAGTATATGCCCAAGAGAACCAAAAGCATGCGTCTGTATAAAACTTGTGCCAAAATGTTCAAAGCACCTTTATGTGTAATACCAAAAACTGGTTCCTCAACAGATGAACTGATGAATAATTGTTATGTATCCGTACGATGTAATACTATTCGACATAAAAAGGAATCAACTCCTGAGACACAACAAAAATATAGTAAAGTAATCTAGCGTTCATAAGTAGCTTCATGGTTCCAGAGAGTGACTATAAGTAAAAGTATGACTAATTATGAAAATGCTGAAACATTGACATCTAAGGTTGAAATAAACTTTAAGTAGCCACCTCCTCTTATAGTATTCAAAAAAAAAAAGTTGATTTCCAGGCAAATAGTTATCCCCATTAGTGAATTCTGAGGATACTTATAAAACACACTTACCTAAGCAAACAGAACTTTGTACACATAAACCTTAGTGTATGTACATTTCAAATTTCAGCTATTTTCTTTTGATGCTAACCAAATAATGAATGACTGGGCTTGGCTATGTGTAGTGGTCCACAAAATAGGTAATCTTTTTTATGATAATCTGCTTATATACAATATTTACTATCTTGTGTTATTTTTTAAAGTATGTTAATATTTACCTTAAAAAAGCTCTGATACTACTTGCAACAATGTAGTTTTAAGCAAAACTGGTATGAGCAAAGTTGCATAGTAAATTGACTTCCCTCTATTTTTTTTTTTAACTTTTCTAACATCTGCTCTTTGCTTCCAAACAAACAGGGTCCCCTCCCTCTAGCTTCCATACCATGAAGCCTCTCACCAAACTTTTATTACTTGAAGTCACTGTGACTTGGAGTTCACTGGCTACCACAGCGTGAGCTAGCATATCCTGAGTGATACAGTATCATACATTCCATTGTCACAGGGGCATCCTAGTGCATTGCTTTAATCTTTGGTTTGTAATCCATGAGAGTGACTGTAACGGTAGTTTCTGTCATGGGACAGGGACCAAGAGATCTTATGCAGATGAATAATTGGGCAAATAGAAGCCATGCACACACCTCAAAGCATGCTGTAAGCAGCTACGGATTCAGCATACCTGCAGCTGGTTGCTGATGGTGTTTTAATTGATGGATATTTTTGTGTTTTCAGGTTTTGGCTGAGAATGGAAATACTGTGAACTAAAATTTCTATCTGCCCCAAACCCCCATCATTTCACAACATTTTTTTTTTTAACATTTAGATTCTCAACTACAAATGTAGCTGGGTGGAAGTCATTGACTGCAGAATTTACTACAGCTCAACGCTGGGGGAGGGTTCTTTCCTCTCTCTAACAAATGAGATCAGTTTAAAATGAAGAAGTCCGAGGAAGCTACGCTGCAGTGATCGAAAAGCTTAGAAATAAAACCTCAGCACTTATATTGATAACATTGTCCAAGCTTCCCTGAAAACACTTTCTAAAGCTTAAGCAGGAAAAATGCATTGTAAGAGTGATGACAGCAGCTCACCAATAATTCTGTAAAATATGACTAATAGTATTGGAACAAGAATAAAGATTTTAGATTTTTTTCAGGGGAGGAAACACACAAACACAATGACTGGTTTTTGGTTACAGACAAATCAGATCTAACTTCTTAATGTGAAAGTCTGCTACCTGCCAGAAACTCAAAAACTCTTTTGTGAACAATTTTTCAAAGACTGTCCAGTCTATCCCTAAGTAAAGTGAGACTTCAAATCAGCAGAGAATTAAAATATATTTACTTAAAAAAGAAAAAAAAAACTCATGCAGAAGGGCATCTGATGTTTTACAGACATTCCAACACCTTCAGGAAATTTGAACTCACACCAAAGGATCTGATAGTCATTTGAGTCTCCATCTGTACTGGAACACATGTGCACACACAATGCACACTGAATCACTCCAATGGAAAAAAAAAAAAAACTGGTCTTAAATAATAGAAGTCCTCTACCATTTCTCTTAACCGCAACTGCTTTGGCGGCTTGAAACAGAGTGACTTAGGGTGATCTGGTCATAAAGCTTCCTTTGGTGCTAGAAGCCACGATGCTAAGCTCTAAGCAGCTCTGCTCCAGGGACACAGTGACTGTAAACTACACAGCCCAGAAGAAGTCTAAGACTTGGGCAATTTGGGGAGCGAACTAAGAAGGAGGCAGTACGTGTTCTGATTTATCTCAGTCAACTGCTTCTCAGTGTCTTCTGTTATTTGCTTCCTGTTTTCAGCTTGTTGTCAGAATTTGGATGTACTAAAATTACTTTGCACAATTCTTTCTTGTAAACAAAAATATCTCTGCCATTTTCAAATCCCTGATCTCTATAAAAAAATCTTCTAGTATTTAGGAATAAAACAAAAGGAAACTTTCGATTCTGTTGTGGTGAATTCACTATTAGATTGTTTTGGGGCAATGTATGTTAAAGACATTAAATTAATTGCCACAATTTATTATAGTGTTACTGTCCTGGGTACTTGTGACCTAATGTACATCATCTCATTTAATCTTTAAAGCAAACCTACTATTACCACCCCCATTCAACAGATGAGAAAACTGAGTCTTAAGAAGGTTGCTACTTGTCCCAGGTCGCACAGCTTGGAAAACAGGCAGAAGATGGGATCCAAATTCAGCCCTAACTCCTAACTACTGTTCTGTGTTGCTTTCTTAGGTATTCCTTTCTTTTCTACTTTTACAAAAATGTTAGTTTCTCTTGAAAGTGTTACTTATCCTCCTAAGTTGGTCCTTAACAAGGGTGCTCCTGCCCAGTGTCATTTGAGCTAACAGAATGAGAATTAATTGGGTTCAGAAGCAAAGGAAAGCTTTATTCTTTGATCAAAGAGTGGAGATGGGAGAGCTCTCGCTGCAGAGCACATGCTCTCCCCGGCAGGCTGGGGGCGGGCTGCTTTACAGGGACTTTGTCAGCCGGGAGGCGGAGTTCCCGTGGGGCAGGCGCAGCTGTGCTGCTCAGGGCTCCAGCCGGCAGTGCCGCGAGCGGCGTCTCTGCATGTGGCCTGCCCCATCCATCCTGAATTGCAGTGCAGCGCACAGCGCTTCTGCACATGGCCTGATGAGCTGCAGGGAACCTCTGCACACAGCCTGCCAAACTGGGGTCTCTGGCGCCGCTGTTCTGCCCTGGGAACTCTAGTCCCACGTGCTAGGTGCACGACCTCTGCACACGTCCCCCGACTGGCAGGTGAAACTAGACTCAGCACAAGAGCACAGACCTTATCTTATTACCTAGGTCCTGTCCTCTGTTTCGGGGACCCCGCTGGGCTTTGCCAGTGACAAAAGGAGCATCTGTGCATCTTTGAAAATGGTGATTCGTGCTCCTATCCAAGTTTCCCTTGGAAAGGAAATGCAAATGGTTGAGTGCTTGAAAGCACAGTCTAGAACCCGGACCAGCACCTCCTATGGGGACCATGAGTGAATCGCAGACATTCCCTGTGCTTCCCTTTGTATGCCAAACAGCCTTGTTGTAGAGATTTATTTACTTTATATTTATAAAGCCCAGATAGTATGAAATGTAGGTGTTATTACGATTATATATATATATATATATATCCATGAATATCATATTCACATACTTAAATAAAGCATTACATACAGATAAGCTATCCCTGCTCAGCCACACAAATGACACAGAAAGTCCTTTTCAAGGGGTTAAGTAAAAAGCTCCACTGCAGCAATGAAAAAGTGATGGTGCGCCACATCGACTCGTGAACTTTCAGTTCAAACTCTGCTCCCCATCCCCCCGCCCCCAAATTCATGGCATAGTAATCCCGTTCTGAACTTTATCTTACATTTCAACAGCTCTTTGGGCCATCTCAGTTGATACAGTTCAAATTTCCTGCTGGTCAGGTAGCACTAGTATCTGCGTTTCCCTTTTATTCCCTCCACATCATCTCAGGGCTTTCTTCACTGAGGAGGCACTTCCAGCTTTGGGGTGAAAATTGAAACTGTAGAGCAGCAGTGGGGGCAGCAAAGCCAGGATCACGGAAGGACTCATTAATCAGGATCGAGAACTGCCACTGATGAGAACACTGGGAAGTGGGGCACATTCTTCCCCTAGGGTGAATGTGGAAGTGCTCGGCTTCTTTCTTCTTTTCTCTTTTCCTGTGGTGCCTCAAAAAATGTGCAAGCTCTGGCTCCCGGCCAGTGGGGTGATTTCTTTGTTTAAAGGAAAGTGTAAAGTATTTTCACATTAAATGAAGAACTTCAGACATCTCCAGGAATCTGTCCTTTGAGGGCTTGTTAAACTTAACAAAGACCCATTTATACTTTAAGAGAACTTCTTCCTTTGCGGGGTTGCCCTGGGGATTTTCTTTTCTTTTCTGCAACACCACTCTGTTTTGTCTTAGCTCTTCCTCTCAGAGGAATTATGGCCACATTTTTTATTTTTAAACCCTCAGATCTCTCTTGTTCTTATTTAATCACTATGTTCTTAGTACTCATCTTTAAAAGAAAAAAACAAAGACATATGAGTTGATTTTAACTGCCTCATCCACTTGTTAGGGGTGACAGAAACATTTGTTTCTGATTTTTCAAATCACAAAAATCACAAGAGATTTACTAAGAAGCTAGTTTTCTCTGAGTTTGTGATTTCTCATTCCAAGTTTTGTAAGACTCCTGTAGATCTAATATCTTCACAAGGGATATGGGGAAATAATTTTAGGAGGAAATATCCAATTGAAAGTAAATTCCTGCCCCCTGTATTTATCTGGGCACATTCATAGATCTTGCCTTTTTGGGTGGTGAATAAAAAAGACTCTTCGCCAGAGTAAAGAAGAATGTAAACTGTGGGAAGTTAAGAGTTTCATTCACCGCTATTATGCCCATTATCCAAACTCGCATATAGGAGACACGCAAGACGTGCCATCTGACGGAATAAATTAATAAATTTTAAAATGATAAAATATTCAACCTTAAAAAGGTTTTGAATTGGCTCTTTTACAGTTAAGCATTTGAACTTTTTCCTCTAGCATTAATTGTACATTAACTCACAATGAGCTGTATACCAGCACACCTCGCCTTTTCTCACTAGTGTAGGAGACTGCTATCCTATTTCTAGGTCTTCTTGGGTACAGTGCCTGTAAGACGGATGCAGTATGGATGTCCAGTTCTATGTGGCTCCGTGGCCTCCCTGCAGTTGTATCAGTCACCATCTCAGAATTGTACCCAGCGACACATGCAATTCCATAGCTTCAGTATAACATATGGAGAAGGATTGGTCTTTATTATTGTTGGAGAATTCCTCCTTAATACCAAAGGAATGTTTCAGTGAAATTATCTCCTGCCTAATTACGTTTGATTAATTCTTCTGGGATAATGAAAACTGATTGTGTGGATACTTTGCTCACTACACAATAGAAACTGTAAGTAAGGTCATTCACAAAATTTAATTGACTGAAAAATTACTTATTTTAATCATATGGCAGGTTTCCTATGAGAATTTTCAGAAGAAACTTTGAAACTGAAAAATATTTATCTAAAATAAATCTAGCTAGCTATCATCTGGTATTATCTATCATCTATCCATCCATCCATCCATCCATCCATCCATCCTCCCTGTCAGCTACCTAATCTATTTAGGACATGGGCAGCTAAGGTTGAGAACCATGCCTATAACTGAAATTGGTTCCTCCCTAAAGGACAGTGTTTCTCCAGAAGTCTCCTTAATTAGTGGCTCTTTTCTACATTCTCCTACCCCGGGGCCTGCAGATGGAGCAGATGCACCTGTTCCTCGCTGTCACTTCTACGCAGTCCTTTCTCCTCCCAGCTTTAAAGCTCCTGCTGTCACAGCTCTTATTACCCCTCCTTCTAGCACTCATTTACTGACTGCTAGGCCGCTTTCCCTTTTTTCCTATGAGACTTTAATTCTTAGATAAAAGTCACTCTCTCCTAAACTGCTTCTGTCTTAATTCTTCGTGATTTCAAAATCTGTGTAGATGCTCCTTCTAGCTAGCTTCTGGGTACCTTGACTTTCCTCTAAAATGATCACCTTCTGTCTACATAAGACAATCAGTACCAAGGTTACACCAAATTGTTTCTTTTACTAACAACTTTTTTTTTTAATGGAGCTACTGGGGATTTAACCCAGGACCTCATGCGTGCTAAACACGTGCTCCAGCACTGAGCTATCACCCTCCCTGCACTAAGAACTCCTAACTCCCAAAAGTTGCAATTTCAGGATTTTCTCTCCATGACTGTTAACCTTTTATCTTTCCAGTTCATGCATATTTATACCTCCCAGTGGCTAAGGTCAGTTGATCACACCACTTTATCATTGTCCCACTTATGAACGCTCTTTCTTGTTCACCTACTTTATATCCCATGACTCATCACTGGAATTATGCACTCTCTCTTTCCTTGCATTCTGTCTGTCTTGCAGAATTTCACCCATGGTTAAACCCATCGCTGCTTACTCCACATCTGCTCCCATACAGCCGACTATGGCTGCAGAAAACCACAACCATAACGATTGTCTTCCTTTAAATTTATGACCTCTAATCTCAGGTGGGCTCTTAATGTTGCCTGGCAATCATATTATATTTCCCTAGTCCATTCATTCTCCCACTCTCCCTGAAAAATACTTCCTTTTTCTTCTGTCCTCAAACTTCTAATACTTCCTCTTAAATCCTAACTCCCAGCTGATGACCTTGTTTCCAGATAAAACAGAAACAAACAGAAAAGAGTGTCAACAAAGTCCTACCAGAATAACTAATCGTCTACCTGCCTCTGTTCCGTTGACAGTAGGTGACTTAAGGGTGGTCCTATCTGAAGACAACTCTTCCACTCAGCAGGAGACGGCTTGTTCACTCTCCTTCTAAACATTGTTCTCCCTCCTATATTACTGTCCTCTACTTTCTACTAGATCAGTTATAACAAACATGCTCTTATTACTCCCATCTAAAGAAGGGAAAATGATTTTGACTCTCATTCCACTTAGCTACCACTGAATTTCTCATTCCCTTTTACATTAAAAAAACCAAACTTTCAAAATGTTGTCTAAATTAACAGTCCTCAATTCTCCTCCTACCTTTCTATCTTACACCTTCTCCAGTCAGGCTTTTGAACTCAAGACTAATGAAAATGCTTTTACCTAATCACCACTGACTTCCATGTTGTTAAATCCAAATCAGTTCTTTGTCATCATCTCACTCTTCGCATCATCAGAATTTGATGTCGTTGATCACTCCCTCCTCCTTAAAAGTCTCCACATGTGGATTCCAGGGTACTACACTCTTCAGGTTTTCTTTTTTCTCACTGGCTGCTCCAGCTAAGTCTCCTTTGAAAGCTTCTCTTAATCCCTCTGACCAGGAATCACTGGAGTACCTCGGGGCTGAATCCTCAGACTCTTCTCTTTTCTGCCT